GAAGTGCAGCGACACCAGTCCCTGGCAAGCGCAGCTTACAGCACACTTGTCGCTTACATTTCCGACTTATGGAGTCTTGCTGCGAAGAACTTTACTGACTTGGCAGAACAGTATGCTATCAGACACTGGGCTGAAAATCTGAAAGCACTGGTAGAGCAAGGGTTCACTGTTCCCGAAATCCAGACCGCCTTCGGGACCGTGCCTGCCTTTGAAGTCAGTCTCCGTGCCCTTCAGGAAGCTACATATCAGACTCCTGACTTCATAGTCCCTCTGACAGATTTGAAGATTCCATCAGTTCAGATCAACTTCAAAAAGTTAGAAAATATAAAAATCCCACTCAGGTTTTCCACACCAGCATTTACTGTCCTCAATACCTTCCATGTTCCTTCCTTTACAGTTGACTTGGTAGAAATAAAAGCAAAGATCATCAGAACCATTGACCAAATACTGAACGGTGAGCTGCAGTGGCCAGTTCCGGAAGTTAACCTGAGGGATCTGAAGGGAACAGACACCATTTTTGCTAGGATCACTCTGCCAGACATCCACGTACAAGAAATCACAATTCCAGAATTTGTAATCCCAAATCTTAACCTTAAAGATTTCCAAGTTCCTGACCTTCACATCCCAGAATTCCAACTTCCCAGCATCTCACACACAATTGAAATACCTGCTTTGGGCAAGCTGCACAGCATTTTGAAAATCCAGTCTCCCTTTTTCATATTAGACGTGAATGCTGACATTCAGAATGTAACTACATCCGTGAACAAGGCAGAGATTACGGCTTCCATCACTGCCAAAGGAGACTCCAAATTAGAAGTTCTCAAATTTGATTTTCAAGGAAATGTACAACTTCCAGACCCTAAAATTAATCCATGGTCTCTGAAAGAATTCATGAGTTTCTCCAGCAAGTACTTAAAAATAGAGTGTAAGAGCGAAGTACTATCTTTAGGAAATGCTGGTGAGGGAAGATCAAGCATAGTGGTGGGTTTACACACAGGAAAGAATACAGTGGAGCTCAGTAACGCTGTGCTCGTCGAGATAAACCATCAGCTTACCGTGGATAGCAACACAAAGTACTTCCACAAGCTGAACATCCCCAAGCTGGACTTCTCCAGCCAGGCTGACCTGCACAATGAAATCACGGCCCTGGTTCGAGATGGACACAAAGCATGGACTTCTTCTGGAAGAGGGTCATGGAAATGGGCCTGCCCCAGTCTCTCAGATGAGGGGACACATGAATTGCAAGTTAGCATCACTGAGGAAGGACCCAATGCTTCCTTTGGAATATCTAATAAGATCCACAGCAAACACCTGAGAGTAAACCAAACCTTGGTTTATGACTCTGACTTCGACTTCTGTAAATTGGAAATCCAGTCCCAAGTTGAATCTCAGCATGTGGGCCAGAGCGTTCTAAGTGCCAAAGGCACAGCACTGCTCGGAGAAAGGAAAGTCGAGATGGCTGGCAACCATGATGCTCATTTAAAGGGAAAAGTTAGTGGCACTTTGAAAAATTCTCTTTTCTTTTCGGCACAGCCATTTGAGATAACTACGTCCACAAGCAATGAAGGGAACTTGAAGATTAGTTTTCCACTAAAATTGACAGGGAAGGTAGACTTCCTAAATAATTATGCACTGTTTCTGAGTCCTGATGCCCAGCAAGCAAGTTGGCTAGCAAGCGCCAGGTTCAATCAGTATAAGTACAATCAGAATTTCTCTGCTGGAAACAATGAGAACAGCATCCAGGCCCACATAGGAATAAATGGAGAAGCCAACCTGGATTTCTTAAACATTCATTTAACAATCCCTGAAACAACTCTACCTTACACAGGACTCACAATTCCTCAGGTGAACTATTTCTCCTTATGGGAAAAAACAGGCTTGAAGGAATTATTGAAAACAACAAAGCAATCATTTGATCTAAGTGTAAAGGCTCAGTATAAGAGAAACAAAGACAAACATTCCATCTCAATTCCTTTGGATGTGTTTGATGAGTTTATCGTTTCCTTCAACAGGCACTTTGAGAAAGTCAGAGACAAGGCATTAAATTTTTTTGCCCAGTCCTATAATGAAGCAAAACTTATGTTTGATGAGTACAAAGTTGAAAAATCCCTCAGCAACCAACCCAGGATCTATCGGATACCTGGATACACTATTCCAGTCGTCAACATTGAAGTGTTACCATTCATAGTAGAGATGCCGACATTTGGCCATGTGATCCCAAAAGAGATCAGCACCTCCAACTTCACCCTCCCCGGCTTTGTGCCCTCATATACATTAGCCCCGCCATACCTGGACCTGCCAGCCCCTCCTGTCCTTTCAGATAATCTCAAGTTTAATTTTCTAGAATTCAATGAGTTGGGTACCCTGAACAAAATTTTAATTCCAGCCATGGGCAATATCACCTACGATTTTTCCTTTAAATCAAGTGTCATCACACTGAATACCAATGTCGGACTTTACAACCAATCAGATACCGTTGCTCATTTCCTCACTTCCTCTTCTTCTGTCATTGACGCACTACAGTACAAATTAGAGGGCACCTCACGTCTGACAAGGAAAAGAGGTTTGAAGTTAGCCACAGCTTTCTCTCTGAGTAACAAATTCGTGGAAGGCAATCATGACAGCACCATTAGCTTAACCAAGAAAAATATGGACGCTTCAGTGACGACAACCGCAAAAGTCCAAATTCCAATTTTGAGAATGGATTTCAAGCAGGAACTTAATGGAAATACCAAGTCAAAGCCTACTGTCTCTTCGTCCATTGAATTAAAGTATAATTTCAATTCCACCAAGCTGTCCTCTACTGCTACAGGGACCGCTGGTCACAAGCTCAGCTTAGAAAGCCTCACTTCTTACTTTTCCATTGAGTCATCTAACAAAGGCGATATCAAGGGTGCGGTCCTTCTTCAGGAATATTCAGGAACTATTGCCAGTGAGGTCAGCACTTATTTGAACTCCAAGGGTGCTCGGTCTTCAGTGAAGCTGCAAGGGACTTCCAGAGTCGACGGTATCTGGAACCTCGAAGTCGAAGAAAGTTTTGCTGGAGAAGCCACTCTCCGACGCATATATGCCATGTGGGAACACAACACGAAAAACCACTTACAGCTAAAGGGCCACTCCTTAACATCTGGAGAGCACGCAAGCAAAGCCACCCTAGAACTCTCCCCGTGGAAAATGTCAGCTCTTGTTCAGGTCCGTGCAAGTCAACCCAATTATCTCCTCGATGTCAATCACCTCGGCCAGGAAGTGTCCCTGAATGCTGACTCTGAGAACCAGAGGGTCAGCTGGAAAAGTGAGATCCAGGTTTACTCTGGGTCTCTCCAGAATGACATACAGCTTTCCAATAACCAAGAAAGGGCACGCCTTGACGTCACAGGTTCCTTAGAAGGGCCCCTGTGGCTCCTCAAAAATACTGTCCTGCCAGTTTATGACAAGAGCGTATGGGACCTCCTAAAGTTGGATGTAACCACCAGTACTGAGAGGAAACAGTATCTTAGTGTTTCCTCGGCTCTTGTATACACCAAAAACCCCCGTAGCTATACCTTCTCTGTTCCTGTGCAAGAATTGGCTGATAAATTCATTATTCCTGGACTGAAACTAAATAATCCAAATTCAGTTCTTGTCACACCTACACTCCAAGTCCCATTTACAAATCTTCAGGTTCCGTCCTACACATTTAACTTCAGCGAAATAAAAATCTACAGGAAGCTAAGTACCTCACCATTTGCCCTCAATGTACCGGCCCTACCCAAAGTGAAATTCCCGGAAGTCGATGTGTTAACGAAGTACTCTAAACCGGAAGGCTCCTCGGTTCCTTTTTTTGAAATAACTGTGCCCGGATCTCAGTTAACGATGTTCCAGTTCACCTTTCCAAAAAGTATTTCAGTTGGCACGGCTGCTGTGGATCTAAATGAAGTGGCCCACAAGACTGCAGACTTCCGGTCGCCAAACGTCACCCAGCCTGAGCGGACCATGGAGATTCCTTCCATGCAGTTCTCCGTCCCTGCTGGGATTTCCATTCCTTCCTTTGGAGCACTGACTGCACAGTTTGGGGTGGCCTCTCCCCTGTATAATGCCACTTGGAGCGCTGGTTTGAAAAACAAAGTAGACCACATTGAAACATCCCTGGAGTCCACATGTAGCTCAACCATGCAGTTTCTGGAATACGACCTCAACGGTAAGAAAATGCCCCGACTCCTCTCATATGAGAATTCTATGTGTTACATGTGTTCAATGAGAGTTGCAAATAAGTAATTATGTATTTGGATATGACTAGAGGCTCAATTACGCTATATACTAAAATTTAGAAGAAGAAGAAATGCATATCTACCCCCCATGTAAAAAACCATCCTATAGAAAACCTACTGACATTCAAGCAGAATAGGTTCAAAGAAAATAGACTTTTCTGTCATGATTTTAGGACTAATAATGTCTCCTTTTAACTATTTCTTTTTTTAAAATGGGAACTGCATGTTTCAAATATATAAGTAAGGCATAGAGTTAAGATAGATTTCACCCAGTTTTCACAATGAAAATGTCTGCTACCAACAGTTATTAATCAAATAAAAAATCTCTCCCATACAGTTGTAGGAACACACAAGATCAAAGATGGCGTGTTAGTCTCTCAGACTAAAGGGACATTGGAACACCGTGACGTCAGCGCAGAATATAAAGAAGATGGCAAATATCGAACATTGCGGTATGGCGCTTTTCTAGAAACTTCATCCCTTTTCGAGTCATTGTGATTTTTGCCATCTCTGTGCCCCGTTCGTGACGGCCCATCTGTGTTTCTGCTTTCAGGGACTGGGAAGAAGAGGTTCGCCTTGACATCACCAGCCCAACATTCACCAGTGTCCAGCTCCACTACCATGTAGGCGAGAATAACTACTCCTTCTCAGCGGCCTCCCCAGCCATAGGCACAGTGGCCCTGGACTCAGAAAACGAAAATGATACTTTAAAATGGAACTTCTACTACCGCCCTCAGGTGAGTCCCACCTAAAGAGTTATATGCCCAGGAGCAAGCAGATCAATGCAAGTCAGTACAAAGTACTGTTCAGGCTCTCCCAGACTGGGAGAAACAAAAGCGATGGGCAGCTCGAACTTCTTCTCCAAGGAACTGTTCTGCAGAAACTATTACAACAAGTCTTTTACTGACTTTAATTATTAGATGTACACATGACATCATATTATCACTATTATTTTATTAAAGGTAGTAAGAGGAGGGGTATGCCTCATCACCTAAATCATAGGCAAACTCTGCCATATGTTGAATATCCTTTCAGATAGTGGTTTCTAGAATAGTTGAGGCTTCAAAATGCTTCCCCACGCTAGAATTGTTAGATGAGATGTGGCAGATTTGTCTCAGCTGTTTCACGAGCTCTGCCAGGGCCAAATGAAAGATGCCATTAGATTTAGTAGAGGAGGAGAAGTTATAAGGTTCTATTAATGAAGTTTGTCGTAGGTTTGGAAAATGAATGTCTCCTGACACTGATATTCTAGATTTCTGCTGGATGGGCTCTAGACTTTTTTTTTTTTTTGCTACTTTTTTTCCTCTGAAATAGTCTTTTCCTGTCTCTTTCTTCCCGTCCTCCTGTGATCTTTAGTTCTAGGAAGGCCTTAGTGTTACTGTATAAATGCCATGCATACATTTATGCTTTCTGAGGCAGGTGATAAAGAGGAATTAACAACAGTAGACTTGTTTAACCAGAAGCCAGACATATGAACTGACATAGGAAAGATAAATCCCCTTCAGAATATGAAAGATCCTCTGAGCTTTACTGTTAATTGCTAAAGAAGTTTTAGTATATTATATTATATAATCAGGATAACTGAAAACATGTTCTTTTCATCCATTTGTTTTTCTGGTTTTAGTTGTCTCCTAATAAAAAACTCAACATATTCAAACTTGAGTTGAGGTACCAGGAAGCTAATGACAAATTTCAGGTGAAAGTTAATGGGGAAGAAGAGGCAATGTCTCTTAGCAGTTTAGCAACTGCTAAACTCTCTGAGAGACAATGTGCCCAAGGTAACAGGGGCATTATATGACTATGTCAACAAGTACCACGAGGAGTACACAGGACTTGATCTGAAGGATGCTTCTCTAAAAGTGAGAGGAAGGCTGCAAAACAGCACTGAGCGGTCCTATCAAAAAGCAGTGAGGCAGATTGATGAGGTAAACACGACACTTGGGAGGGTAGTCAGAGACGCCACTGGAACCTCCCAGCTATGGAATGACAAGGCCCAGAATCTGTACCAGGAACTGTTGGATCAGGAAGGCTAAGTCAGTCTCCAGAGACTCCAAAATAAAGCTCTAGACAGCCTAACAGGAGTTACAGAGGAATACAAAATAGTAGTCAGTCATCTGATTGGCAAGTTCATTGATTACCTGAAGTTCACCAGATTCTAGCTCCCGGGAAGGGCCGGGACATACACTATAGATGAGCTCTGCACTGGGGTGATGAGGGAAGTAGGGAAGGTACTTTCTCAGGTATATTCAAAATCTGTAGTAGGTTAGAAATACTGTTTTGCTATTTCCGAGACCTGATGGAGAAATCTGAATTAATCAAGCACCGAATGAGTAAATTTCCTTTTGATTTGAGGAGTCATAAATGAGTAGACATAACCTTGAAGTTTGGGAAACTATTGAAATCTTTATCACGAAAGGTCCAAAAGGTATTTAATTACCTCCAGTCTAATAAAACTACTACAGAGATGCTAGGTGATTTTCAGAGATATTTACAAAACATTTTCCAAGAGATGGAGAAATGAATGGCTTACAAGAAAAGAAATTTATTAACCTCATTAATGATATCCAACACAAGATCAACTAAACCTTCACTAGTTATAGTCAACATGTTTTTAGATTCTTGAAAGAAAACCTATACCTTGAGTTTGGTACGTTTAATGAACTTGTTTAAAACAAACTCCAGAAAGCTTCTCATGTGTGAGAGTAGATCCATCAGTAAGTTAAGTCTCTTCACAAGGAATGTTTTTATCCAGGTGTGGTCAGCTGGACAGTGAAATACTATGAACTTGAAGAAAAGATAATCAACCTGATCAAGAACCTAGTCCATGTCCTCAAGGACCTCCATTTGCTTCTCAAATCTCAAGTGAACCTGAGCAACTCATGCAGAAAGATATCCAGAAATATTTTAGCATCCTTGACAATACAGATGGAAAAAGGAAAGAGAAAACTGTAGAGCTTTCTAACAGTGCTCAGGAAATAATTAAAAGCTGGGCCATTGCAATGGAGGAAATCATTTCTGATTACCGCCAGCACTTCGAATATAAACTACAGGATTTGTCAAATCACCTCTCTGATTACTATGAAAAATTCATTGCAGAGTCCAAAAGATTGATTGACTTGTCCATTCAAAACTACCACGTTTCTGAGATATATCACTGAGTTACTAAAAGAGCTGCTGCAATCAGCCACAGCCAATGACATGAGCCTCTACTCAAGATTGCTTCAGAAGAATTTACTATCACCTTCTAATTTTTTTAAAGCAGTTCTCATGTATTCTTCTACTCCAATTAATTTTCCACATAGTGGGAGGCGGGGTGGAATCAAACTGTATGTATTGATATAATTATACACTGAGCCAGTCCTATAGCAGGCAGCTGACTACAAGCAGAAGCACATGTGAACTGGACCGGTACTGCAGCTGGTGTCAGATCTCCGAAGGTCTCTGAACTCTAGGAAACAACGTATTTTTCCAAGTTAAAGAAAATCGAGATCTGAGTTATTTTGCTAAATTTAGGGGGAGGGAGAACCAATAAATGAATTCTTTATTGGTTCACTGTGGCTCATTCGTATTAAAAGATAGTGAAATGAGGGTATTGAGTCAAATGTCTGACATTTCGAATCCTCCAGAAGAACACATATTGTGTTTGAGTGATCAAGGGGGAACGGGAGAATTTGTGGAGGGAAATATTTCGCTGCCTTAAAAAAAAAAATAACCGATCTCAGGGATTGTATTTGCAAGTAGGAAGGAAAAACTGTTTACAAAGGCTTTTACTTAATTTGGTCCCAAGGAGCATCGCATTTGTCTTTCCGTGCCATACATTCTTCCTTACCAACCAGTCTGCCTTTGCCAGGCAAGGCTGTCTGCTAGGCTCTGAGATAAACCAACAAGCCCTTTATTTCACTCGGCCTCCCAGGCGTAGAGAAGGGATGGCTAGGAAGTCCTGCTCCAAGGACTTCATGGCAGTAGGGACCCCAGAAGTCTCCCTGCAGCTCATCCAGGATCCATTCAATGCAAAGGGATTGAGGGAGGGAGAGGAAGCATGGAGACGTGATTTCCTAACATTTCTGGGACCACACATATATTTTTTCTCTTGAATTTCCTAATTTCTCCAAATAACTTAATTCTTAACAATCCCAAATATAATCAAGACATATCCACTCGCTTCAAACTCTGATTTTAAATATTGGCAACATCCACTCAGAGCATCTAAGCTGAGCTTTAGTAAAGGAAAGCTGCAAAGACCCTGTGTGGCACAACTTCACGAATAGCATTGGGAAGGGTAGATGTGACTTCTTTCCATGGCATTGAAAAACAAAGGAAGGGGATGTGACCTTTTGTGAATAGGAAATTAGAGATCACACACACACACACACACACACACACACACACACACACACACACACGAGGTCTGTTTGGAAAAGACCCTTTTAATCCAAAAAATATCTTCAACCTTCATCATTCTTTCATAACTCCCTCCCATTCTATTGGTGAAGCCCACAGTTAAAATTCACAGGTATTACCTGGAAAAGGAAACACGTTAGCCTATTGGGACCTTAGCAGGATTCTTTGGCCTGGAACTGGAGAGGCAGAAAGAGTCCTAGGGATGTGGAATGCATAGTAGTGTATGAATCTGGTACTCAAGAAAAGTCTGTTAGATAATGAATCAATGGAAAGATAGATGAATGAATGAATGAATGAATGAATGAGTGGGTAAATGAGGGGTCAGTTCTAAAGGCAAAAGAGGGGGAAATTAAGCCCAGATCCCAGGGTACCACATGAGTGATTCTAGGCACAGATCTATGAAAGTTTCCTGATGAGCTATAAACAGCCAGAATCTACTGAGTATGCAAATTGAAAGGAGGCCTGGAGTTATGGTTTAATTTGGAGAGGAAGGAAAAGTCCAAGGTTCCTAGTGCTTACATGATGAAATGTGTATCTGGAACTGAAAAAAAAAAAAAAAGTAGACACAAATTTAAAATGATCGTGTAATCACACAGTGCTACCTTCCCAGCTCCCTGACTGGTAACCCTATATGAGGGGCCCCTGGCCGGCTTAGAATATCTTCATCACACTCAATAAAGTGGAAAGAAGGGGGAGTTCCTTGGGAGGACTTGGACTTCACTTGTTCTCTTCTTTGGCCTTCGACTGCAGATCAGGATACTTCCCTGTGTTCAATTAATGGCTACATTCCTCACTTGCTTGTAGCTTTGGGCAACTTACTTCCCCTCTGTGAACCTCAGTTGTCTTATCTATAAAATGAAAATAATATCCTGCCTGCCTTGAAGGGCTGTTCGTGAAAATCAGATGTGAAAGAGTTTTGTAACTTTTAATGTTGTATAGAAACCAAGTGCCATTATTATTAGATAATCATTTAAATAAACTGATGGCAAGGAGAGAGGATAGAGGCAGGGAGACCTACACAGCTCAATGAACATTTATTAAATGCTTCTGTGTACTAAGCATGAAGGCTCTAAAGAGGAGACAAAGATAAGTAAGATGCAGTTCCTGGGTATCTGTTTGTTTACTTATCTATCAAAAGTGGAAGTTGTTGTCCTATGATGGGTATAAACAAAGTATTCTGAGGGTTTATAATAGAAAAGGATGAGGATCAAGAAGTTTTCATGGACAAGATTGAAATGGATCTTGAAGATATGTAGACTTCGACAATTGATAAGGGAGAAAGAATATTCTAGAAAGAAGAGAAACATGAGGGAAGGAAGATAGATGGGTGTGTTTGAGGGACACTGGCTCATCTAATTTGACCAGAGCACAGGAAAAGTTACTGGGAGACAGAACTGGAAAGGCAGGTTTGGCGGTATTGCACAGGTCTGGAAAACGGGAGTGAAGGGTGGTACTCTTTGCTGAAAGTTTTGAGCAGGAGGGTGATATGAGTTGCGATTTAGGGAAACCGATATAATTCATCCAACTCACACAGGACGAACTATAAAGGGATAAATGTGCGTATGAGGCTGTGCCAGGGTCCAAGTGGAAGATGCTGAGCACCTCGGCCAAGTCACAGATGCTGGAAATGGTGAGGAGTTGGGTACAAGAAGCATCATGAGGGCACAACCAACAGAACGAGGGGGCTGACTGTTTGGAACACAAGGGATGGGTGCAAAAGCTATTAACAGTGAAGCTGCCTTGGTAAGTCATCGGAACCAAGAATTAGAGGGGTTGCCAAGGAGACAAGAAGAGCAAGGGAGAAGGTCAAGCAAAGTAGACTTTAGAGTTATGAAATTTCGAACCTGCATAAATTGAAGAGCTACAGGGCACCAATGAAAGCAGGAGGAATGTGTTGAAGGGTGAGAGATTCTCAGTGTCAGGCATGGACTCATAGACTATCATGGCTGAAAAGGGTCTACGGGATCACATGGTGAGTTTCAAATTGCAGTGGTGTCCAGGCAGAAATATCTAGCAGGCTATTTAATTGCAGATATAGGCTAGAGAAACAATATTCAAAGGAATAGCGACAAAGGAGAATTTTAACCAATTATTATATTGACTTGATGTTCTTATAAGCACCTTTACAAACTTAAAAAGAAAAGAGTTTTTCCCCTTAGACGATCAATTGGCCTTTTCTCCTGAGACCAAGCCAATGTGTACATCTGCTAAGGACATACCGTGAGGTGACGTGGAAAGTCCTGCTGTAAACACAGATATTCCTCCTGTTAAACAAATACCCAAAGTTTAACCAAAACAGAAATGAAATAGGGGTCCCAGCGCATGTCGGTGGAACTTGGGAAGCACTGTCGAGCTATGTGGTTCGGTTTGACTCCCAGGTCCTGCTGTCCCCAGAGTACGCCTGGTAATAGATGAGTCCACGGAGAGTGGGCACCTCTAGGTGCTTTCAAAGCCACCTCCATTTTCCTTGCTTTTCACTTGAAGGCTCTTCAGTTGAGGAGCTCAATTGCCCTAGTTTGGTGGCCTGAGCAAAGCCCCCTCTGACTTCATATTCTAGGCCCCTCTTCTGGCTCTGATTTATGACTTAGTCCCCATTCAGTCAGAAAAGGGGCCAAGTTGGCCCTCAAATGGGGCCTGCAATAAGGGAGCCAGAGTGGACAAACGGATGTTCCCTGTAAAAGTGTCCAACAGCCAGAGATAAACATGCAGACGCTGACCCTACCTCCATGTCTTATCTCCATGTCTTGCTGTTTCTCATTAAGAAGTCAGCTATAACTTCCTTCAGAGCACTCCGTCTGTTGGTGGGATGGTTGAGTGGTCTCCAAGGAATAACATTCCAGGGCCTCACAGAAGTTGGTGGGGTAGGTACCCATGTTTCTACAAGGTGAGGACCCTGCCCTTCTCCTCCTTTACGAACGGGCCCATGCCCCACACAGGTCCGAGCAGTGCTTCGAGTGGGCACTAAGCACTAAGCTCTGACATTTGTGTCAATTTTACTCCTCGACTGGCACCACTAAGGCCTGGTTTCGGGTGAGAGAGGTAACTCAGGCCTTGGAGGTGGCCTGGTCCATGAGCTGTACACTGTGTCCCATCCTGGTTTTTAAGCTATGGCTAGGGCTATAGCTGTGCCACATGAGTACTTAAAGCCACACTGAGCAGAGGCATAGAGAGTTTAGGCTCTAAACTAGAGAGTGGCCTGAGGAAAGGGAAGCTGTCAATGGCCCAGCTGCCCCAACACCCCTCAGCTGCCCAAGTGGACTCTCCCCCTCTCCTCTTCTCTTCCCTAAAGTGAGACCCAACCAGGCCGGCACGTAGATCTCTACATAGCAGTGGGACCCAGGCTAACTCCGGAAGGCCTAAGGCCCCTGTACTGGGCTGGGCTAGCTGGCTTGGAGCTGGCGTCATTAGAACACATCTGGAATCACATGACACACTGGAAAGCACAGTAGGGAGAGGGTGAAGTACTGCCAGTACCTCATCTGAGCTGAGGTAGAGGAGCCTGGAGCAGCCAATATGTCTTTTTTCTCAAAAGAAGGCCTAAACTCTGAGGCCAAATTCAAGCACCACCACTCATGACCTACGTGACCTCAGGAAATTTACCTAAAGTTTTCTAACCATCAGTTTCATCTTTAAAATGGGAATCATGAAAAGAGAATAGGTCAGGACACTCTAAACAGAAGTAGAAAGTGGCTCCCTCTTACGTTACAGGGTCCTAATGAAGACTGATTGAAATAATATGGATCAAGTGAGTGGATCCACAAAGAGTAAATAAATTGTGT